CACCACGACCAATTTGATGTCCAGCAACCGAGCCAATGCTTTGAACTCGATGTCACTGGCGAAAGCGGTTGGTTGCTCCATGGCAGCCAAGTATTCTTCAAACGTTCCTGAAAAGGGCTGCCCTTTGGGATCCATCTTGTCCCATTCTGGCAAGTACGTGTCGCGATGGCGCTTCATGTGCTCCAGCACCTGAGCTCTGAGAACCCGAGGGTGGGAGTCCCGCTCATCTTGCAGCCACTTCAAACCCTCGCTGACGGCGTGAAAAAGGCACGAGCCGTCTTTCGGCATGGGTTTGAGCTGAAGGTCCTCGGGAGGAACCTTCACCTCCTGCTTCACCCGTTTAGGCTCAGGCTTCGGCTTGTCCTTAGCCTCCATATCCTGGTCGCCATCGTGGGCTTGGGTTTCCTCCTGGACAGCAGGGGTAGCCACAGTGGTGGTCTTGATGGCAGGGATCTGGGCGACAGGCACAGCCTTGCGAGGCAAGGGCTTGCGACGGATCGAGACATTGGCCGGGAGAGCCCAAGAAGCCCAGTACGTCGTGGTGATACCGTCCTGTTCGGCAACAAGAGGGATCAGGTCTTTGTCTTTTTGGCTCGCAGCAGCCTTGAACCGGAAGTTTTGGCCTAGCTTGGTTCGCCTGTGGGTCAGGATCTGGATTTCGGCAAAGGCGGATTCCAGGAGCTTCGTAACTCCATCCTCATCCCACTCTATCGGCAGACCATCAATTTGCCACATGCGCTTCTCGACTTCACCCTCAGCAAGCTTCTTACGCCACGCCAATTTATTGGCTCTGACGACTACACCAAGGTCGGCTCCCTGGCGAACGGCCCTCTCATGATAGGCGCTAGTGGTTTCGCCCGGCAGCTTGTCAATCCAGGAGATGCTGGTCTGGATGCCGTGGCGACGAGCGGTGTCGACAAAAACTCCTTGCTGCCCTGACAACTTTAGAAAAGCCTCTAAGTCACTTTTCCGCACACGTGCCATGCCGTAGTACTGCTCGCCCGCTTCCGCGCGAGGTTTCTCAAGAGCCCAGGAGAAAGTGTCAAGCACGCGGACTCGGTGTTGACTTGCCCACTGCACAACGGTCTTGTTCGGGTTAAGACCAAAACCTTTCCATTGCTCTGCCGGGGCAAACGATTTAAGGACCCGCAGAAAGATAACGACCGTGTCAACGGACGGCTGCATCTTAACAGCGGTGGCGCCAGCGCCCTTAGGTCTGGGAGCCGACCCTCCCGCGTCCGACGAAAGTTCTTTGACAACTGCTTGCCGAAACACAAGTTTGCCGTCAATCGTGCCCGGAGTCCGGCGGGATCCTTCTGATTTGTCCAAGAAAAGAACCAGGAATTTGTAGGGCCGCCCAGCTCCCCGGATGAGACTGGCAGTGACAGCTTCTTGTTCCTTGCTGACATGCACGACAGCCTCTACCGTGGTTCCTTCTTTGGCCTTTTCGATGAAGGTCGCCAGCTGTTCGAAAGTGACGATAGGAGCATCCCAGTCTTCAGGCCGAAGGGTGAAGTCGCTGACCGGCGCGGGGCTCCTTTTGCGGGTCACAACTTGCCACTCAGACTCTTGGCCAGCGGGCTGCAACGGTTGCACGACGGAACCTTTGCCTTTGCTTTTACCTGTACCTGCCTGGTGCACCTTACCTCTGCCTGCCGACAAGGGTTGCGCGTTGCGCGGCACTTCACCTTTGCCCTTGCCTTTACCTTGGCCTTTGCCTGGGTTGGCTGCACGCGGAAGCTCCGGCGTAGACGCAGGTGGAGAAACGGCGGCGGCAACGTTACCTTCGCCACTACCCTTGCCCTTGCGTCTGCGTTTGCGCTTGGGTTGCTGCCATTCCTCATCCTCATTCTCGTGTGGAGTCGGACGGGCATTAGGAGCGGAAGCCCGCGACGCAGGCACCGAGGAGGCCCCTTCCAAGTTCAAACCTTGTAAAGCCTGTTGCACAGCTTGCGCGACCGCTCTTTGAATTTGCTCTTGAATCTGTTGCAGAATGGCCGGCCCCAACAACGCGTTGAGGTTGCCAAGGTCAATCTGCATGCCGGGGCCGGGGTGGCTCGCTTCCCCGATTCGCACACCCACGCTGGGGTCGTGGCTCTGGGTTAGGCGCGGCTCCAACGGGCACCAACGGTTCACCGCGTCACGCAACCATCTCAAGGGGCCAGCGATGCATGACCATGTTGCGGGCTGTTGCCTAGTGTCAGTGGTGGCACGCTCCTGAGTCGAGGATGGGACCTGAGTAGCCGGCACCCTCACACCGATGCCAAACTCAGCAGTTTGACCATTCATAAACACAGGAGTCCAGCACTGAAGCACGGCAACAAGGTGTCTGGGTTTGTGTCTTTTCGTTGGTCTGGGGTCTTG